TTCGAAAATATTAGTAAACATTTTTTATTTTCAGAATTTTGTAAACTAAGTGGATATTCCTTTTTCAACAAACTAAGGAGATAATATACAATTATTTATTGCCCCCAAAATCCATCACATATCTTTTTAAAATCTAATGAGATTTTCTTATTATCTAATCGTTTAATACAAAACTATTTTGATTTATTTATTTTTTCAAATCCATCACATATTTTCTTTTTTCAAAAAAACTACTCATATTTACATATTTGGTCAGGATAACACGTATTCTAATATTATTGATCGTAAAACGTTTAAATATTATAATACACATTTGAGCATCAAACGTTTATTAAATTTATGTATTTTATTAAAAAAGGATTAGTATTAGAAGATTGAATTTGAACAGAAACGAGATCTCTCGTGAAGAAGACGAAGATAAGCTTTGAGAGGATTTGGAAATTATTAATGTTTCTGTTAAGTGTAAATAAGCTTTACAATGTGTTATATATAAACATAAATCTATCCGGTATAGACCGGTTAACACTAAACCAATCTATGATTTTTAATAATTAGTTATTTTTGAAACGTTTTAAAATTCATCACCTAAATAAACGTTTTACAACCTCATGCATCATTGGTACATCAGTATATGGTCAAAGAAAAGACAACAACATTTAGAGGGATTTAAAAAACCAATCGAGGATAACTTAACCAAAAAAGTGTTAAACTATAACTACGAAAGAGAATGTTAGTAACTTCAATTATTTTAAGGCTTTTACGTGACTTTTGTACATCTATAACATTTCTATGCTTTGTATTATGGATTAGTTTATTTCTTATTTAAAATTTGAATTATTTAAGTGTTGTTCGTTTGCGTGTCTGGACGCAATATCTAGATGCACGCAGCATCTAGACGCAGAACCTAGACATAGCATCTAGATGCAGTACCTAGACGCATCATCTAGATGATGTTTGTTTGTGTTTTTACTTTCTGCGTTCAGAAATTGTATCCAGAAACAATTATGTTCGTTTGATGTTTTTGTACCTTATTTCTGGATGCATTTAATGTAAATTGACCAAAAACTCTTTATTTGTGTTAAGAGGTTAATACTATTATTAATGATTTAGATTATAATTATACCTAAACAATTGCCAAATTAATTTTTGAATGAAATTCTAAAAAACTTTATCTAACAAAAAAAGAAGACATAAAGTCGTATAC